TAACAATAAAAAGAGACTCCTGTTCTCTATAATCACCATACGAAACGGAGCAGCATTAAGCTGCCATTTTACGCTGGTATTCTGTGATAGTGAGGTCTTTCTCCGGTCGAGTCGACCCATTCGTTCTACAACTATTCAATTAATATAGCTGGAGCATGACTCTACCACGTTTAAAATTGTCTTTGAAGTAGCTGCTGGAAGGCTGCTGAGAGTTTATAGAGCCATTTTAGTTTTTAAAGAAAAAGCTACATATTTACATAACTTCAGAATAATAGTTTAGTTATAATATTCTAAAGATATATAATGTTAGAAAAGAGAGTAATAACAAACAACATAAAGGATCCTTTGCTGCCAATGTATAAAACATTAATTTGGGGTATGTCTGAAAATCGTATTATTGAAACCAATGAAGCAAACCAAACGTAATAAAGTGACGAATTAACATAAGTTGTACGGAATATTTGGGCATTAAAAAGTTTTTAAAATTATAAAGATGATTATTTCTATAAGCGAGATGATCATCACTATAAGCTTAATGGGTAAATCTCCTTTTTGATACTCTTATATATGGCTGCGATATGGTAGTCAAAAATATATGAGACAATAGTCATAGAAGAATTAAAAAAATAAGATGATCTTGAAAGATACAAAGGACATGGGAAAAGAAAATTTAAAATTATAAAATTTATATTCTTTATTACAAATGTCGATATTCAGACTACAAATATCGATATTCAAAGTATTCACTGTAAGCACGTACTCGTATATACTGATTCATACCATTTTTTCATAGAATAACGGTGATAATCGCAATTGACAGTAAGTGGAGGCTATGACTCATATATCTCTACATCTATCCTCGATTAAGAATCAAGAAGAGAACGTTTTAATCGTAACTAACTTAAATTAAAAATTTATAACCTAACATAACAAAAAGATCTGATGATCTTCAAACGACTAAACAGATTTTCTTGAAACATAGCATCAAAACATTCTTGTGGCTTTAAACCTTTTTAAAAGTCATAGGACGTAAAACATTGTGCGAAGTCACGTCGTTTTTTTATATCACGTCATTTTCTTTTATATCGTCAGAGGAGGTAAAACATAGTGCGAAGTCACGTCGTTTTCTTTAGCCTGGCCTTGGCGGGAATCAGTCAGATTCCAGAACCAAAAAATATCCAGCCTTTACGATGATTTATATCTTGCCAGTTGTAAAAAGTTATAGAAGAGTAACTAATTTCTTTTGGTATGGTCCTTATAAGGAATGTCAACGTTCTGAGTAGAATCATACTAATAGATGGCCCTAAAGCAGACACTTAGGATGAAATAGAGGCGAGCCTTATTTATTGCGATGGATGGAGATGGATGGAAAAAGATGAATCAAAATTAGGATAATTTTTAATTTCAATATTCTTACGAATCATCATTGGTAGGAATTAATGTTCTTTAGCGAGGATTTGTGATTTAACAAATCTCATGTAATAACATAGACGATCCTGAACATGTTCTTATAATGGGAAAGTCTTGCATTATTTATATTGCTAGAATTCAAGAAACTCACAAAAAGAAATAAAAACAAATAATTTAAATCTAAAGGTATCCCGGTTTAACTGTTACATCAGTACGTCAAACACCACACATTTGTAAGGGCCGATCGGTAGGCGTTGTTGCCCGTTAATCAGTTTAAATTTAGGATAATTTCATATAAAAGTAGAAGCCTTATTGACTCATATTTTCAAAACCTGCATTAACGGTATATCATTATTTATATATTTGAACTTAAGTTTAAAATTTGGTTACTCTTTGGTTGAAAAATAAACCTCTATATTAAAAACAAATCATATATTACAAGTACTAACACAGGTTTATCTGATTTACAATAAATTATAAATAATTATTTTTTTAGATTATAGGATTCCTTTTTGCCCAGAAGTCCGTCATGGTAGGGACCACCTTCTTGCCTTTAGATCCCTAAAGGTGAACCTGGCATCTTTAGACTTCTTTGTTTGGAGTTGACTGTAGATGTTCATGGACTGCATTAGCCTGAATGCATCATGTGAACTGTAACTTTGTTAGTCACTTCAGTTTTAACATAACAAAAAATACTGTGCAGTGACGGCGTAAGTATATTCACTACCTTATAATATCATCCCGTTGCCACGGGATATTATAAGGTAGTATAATATGTCGCGAGAAGCGACATAGGGAAACAGTTTCAACTTCATTAGGAGAAGGGCAGCAGCATCTCCCTTATAACAACTGAAAATAATAAAAAGTAGTTTTTTATTCGGACTTTACATAAAGTATTGCTTTTCTTTACATAACTAAAATGTCTCGACATTGTAACCTATGTATTTTAATAAAGACGATTTGTTGTAATATTTTTATAATTGTTAAAGCGTGGCTCTAACACGTAAACGTTTTTTTTTTTATAGTCACCACGTTGAGGTATGCTCACGGTACAAGTATTATGGCCTACAAATAATTGTTTAGGTTCTGGATGTCATAATGGAAAGGGTAAAAAAGGTTAAAATTACCTTTCTCACTGTTTGTTATTATAACTAAAACAACTCCCTGATTTTTATGATTGCAAATTTTAGATTTATTTATCAAATGACTTGAAGATCTGAATTGACAGATTTTTAAAATCTAATCTATACATGTATTAGTATTTAACATTTTTTTCATAGTATACAAAAATATTTGCATGATCGTTAAAAAGTAATATAAAAGGTCTATATATTCTGTTAAGTTAGTACAATGTAGCACATAACGTGTGTTTCGTTTTGTTTTGTTTTGTTGTTAGTACAACATACTGAGTACAAACGTAATATACAATTATAAATCACTAACTCCTTTCAGTCGTAAATCTCTGTTGATTTGTTTATATCCGAACTTTTATTTGTTAGCGAACAAGTGTTTCTTTTTGCATATTACTTTTTAAGAATAATCAATTATAACAAAGTTTTTTTTAATTTCGTCAAGTGCGAAAGTATTTGAAAATTACAACTGAGATCGAAATTATTCAGAAGAACATTATCATTATTCATTATATTATTTTTCCAAATATTATATATCTTTTACAAAGATGTTTTAAAAGAAGACTGTACAGTACTAGTACAATATAAAACTAATCCCCCTTCCCCTGAAAAGAATTCATGATTGTAGGTACATATAAATTTAATTTTATTATTGAATTAAATATAAATTTAGTTTTGTCTCAAACCACAATGGAATCATTTAAAAAGAGTAATCGACTGGCCATATTATTATCCTACTGAGAAGATAGCTTTACCATTATACTAACCCAATGATTTCTTGTATTTGTGGAGAGAAAATAAATAAATTTTCAATACTACATATGAAATGAAACCAATTTTATAGATTTTATCTCGTTTAATTTTAACTTTGTAATTCCCTTGTTTGACGTCCCAATGTCATAGTTAGCCCGGTTACAACCTTCAGTTGTTGAATATTAATTTTTGGTCCGATCTACGCCGAACAAGCTTTCAGCATCTTGAAGTCTTACAGTGGTATGCTTGGGTTTGGATTTAAGAGCTGGCACTGGGGTGCCCCGGCCCAGAGATGAGAACAGTATTCCATGTGAGGCCGAACTTGCGCTTTGTGAAGTTGCAACCGATGTGCCGGCATGAAATACTGTCTCGCTCTGCTGAGCATGCCAAGCTTTTTAGAGGCCAATTTGGCCTTCCTTTCCAAGTGACCACGAAACTGCACACTATTCGATATGTCGACGCCGAAGATTCCGATGCTAGCTGAGGCAGCAAAGGGAGTGCTTTGAAACTGAGGAGATACGACAAAAGGGGTTCTTTTTAACGGTAAACGCGCAAACTTGTACCTTTTGGTGATTGAACTGGACTAGATTTAGTCGCCCCCAATCCGAGACTTTGTTCAGCAAAGACTCGACTTCAGACACAAGTTTGTCCCGGTACTAGGCGACGTTTTCCCGAGAAATATTCGCACGGCTGGTATATAAGGCATCACCAGTGCTGTTGTCTGCATAGCAATGATTGTTACGTTAATGGTGAGATTTTATTCGGCCTCTTATTAAAACAGAGTCTCGTTGAGATGATATTAATTGGGTCACAACTTGTCTGCTACCCAGTCTTCGTTGACACTAAACACACAGTATACTGATAGTATTGGCATTAGGGCGCTGGAGCTCATTTTCAAGATTTGTGCCGACAGATAATTCTTGTAATACGTTTGCAAAACATTGTGAACATATTGGTGCATTTTCGTCCATCTAAAAGAAAACAATCTTATTTTAATAAACTATCTATATTGCAGAAGCGCATTTTAAACAGTGCAACATGTTTTAACAGGTGAACTAAAAGAAAATTATATCATTTTAAGATATCGCAGCCATTATGAACTTATGTAGAAATTAATACTTATTAACAGATTACAGATAGAAGCATGTCATTCAAATGCGTTTAATAGCTTAAGGAAACATCTTTCTTTAGTACATACCTGCTTACTGATTCAAAATGTGTTACTGATTCAAAAATCATAAAATCCATAAAACAAAAGCAGAGTGAAACAAGTAGTAACTGATCCAAAGTCCAAACAAAAAACTAAATCGCCAAAGAAATCCACAATTAAACGCATTCACGAGTTCACAACTACACAACCAAGCTCGGAATAAATAAAAATATCACTTGACAGAAATGACATTTGACAAACAACAGCGTCTTTTTATGACTGGAAGGGCGCCGTCTTGTAAAACCATAAAAAACTTGGGATTGCATTTTTATTGTTAGCAAGTTATTTAGTTTGATTTATTCTTTCATTTTATTTTTAACAAAATCCCTGAATTTTTCTCTTTTTTACGGTATACTGTACATAGACTGGGCCAGAAATGGACCGTCTCCTCTTCTGAATTATACGAGGGTGGATTGAAAAGTACTCGGCCTAACCAAGAAAATAAACACATACTAAATCAGTTATATTTTTATTTTTCTACATAATCACCATCAAGTTCAATACACTTTTGCCACCTCCCCTTCCAAGCATTTAGACCGTTGAAAAAAAAATGATTCTTCCTTAGAGTCAAAATATGCGTCTACATACGTCTGTGAATACGGCGGATGCGGTAACAGTTCAAAGCCACAGTTGTGAATTTCAGCCATTGACTGTACTGACGTGTGAACACGGGCGTTATCTTGATGAAACAGGACTTTTCTTCTGAGCATTCCTCGACGTTTTTCTTTAATTTCCTCTCGTAAACGACGTAGTAAGGTGCAGTAGTAATCAGAGTTTATATTCTGATCCCTTTCAAGATAATCAATCATAATCACACCTTTCGAGTCCCAGAATACTGAAGCCATCACCTTATTTGCCGACAAAATGGACTTAGCCTTTTTAGGGGGTGGTGAACCAGGTCTTCTCCAATGTTTTGATTGTTGTTTTGTTTCCAGTGTACAGTAATGAACCCATGTTTCGTTCATAGTAACAAAACGATTCAAAAAATCATCTGCATCGGCTTCAAATAACTGCAAACAGTCGCGTGAAATAGTCAATCGCGTCCTTTTTTGTTCAACTGAAAGCAGTCGCGGAAGCCACCTCGCAGACACCTTGTGGAAACCCAACTCGTTGACAATGATGTTTTGAGTTCGTTCATAGGAGATGCCTATAATCTCGGCTATCTCTCTAATTTTTAATTTGCGGTCTCCCATTATTAAATCAAGTACTTTTTTAATATTTTCGTCAGTAGTTGACGTCGAAGGCCTTTCAGAGCGGGGTTCATCTTTCACACTCTCTCTACCACGCTTAAATTCTGCTATCCATTTTTTCACGGATGAATATGACAGAGCACAATCGCCTAATGTACTGACCATGTCATCATGGATGGCTTTTGATGATAGCCCCTTCTTATGGAGGTACTTAATGACGGCACACTGCTCGATTTGCTCCATTCGCGGAAATTATGTCCGATTACTTTGTTAATAAATTTATAAAATCACAACTAATTATCGCACACGTTTCGAACTTCACACAATGAACTAGTCTGAACTGAACTAAATAATGTGGGTAGATTTGATTTTTAGAATTGAATGGATCTGTGTTAGGCCGAGTACTTTTCAATCCACCCTCGTACTTCTGACCCAGGCGTCCAACTGATGGTGGACTAAAACAATGCATTCATATATATATGAACACTAAACTTACTAACAACCCTGGTAAGCAGGGCTGCATTACGATTGCGAGGTTATTATAGGCTCTGCGCTCTGATGAAATGAAAGATAAAAGCCAGAAATATTCTATCCGTATTCTTAGCGTGAATAGTTTGGTGGTTATTGCAATAAATAGATACAATTTGGCACATTCTTAGAAAGCTCTAAATTCAAAATCTAAAAAAGACTAAAGAAGAAAAAGTGAAAATAGCTTAAACCCTTAGATTATATAACATTTTATATAATCTAAGCTTAAACCGTTTTATTGTTGTCATTGCGCGATCTCAGAACAATCGCTTCGTCCCCAAATTATGCTTTGATCCGCTCCGCGATACTTAAATTGCTCGTAAATCGCGTCATCTAGACATGATAAAAGGGAGACTAACAATCTGTCGGATCAGAGGAAAATTGTTCTGTTTTTTACAGGATACATTTCTGGCAGTATGTGCAGGACTAGCATGACTTAATTCTTTCTTTTCCGTTCCATCATCGGACTATTCGATGCTTGTGTGATGCCCGCCCATTTGTTGTCGACATATCACGCATTCAAACCAACGGTTTGCTTCGTCGTTCATAAAGTGTACTTGAGTAATTGAAGCGTTGCATTATACGGTTACAATTTGATTAAATAAATCGAACATTATGGGTAAATAAACATCTGTGTTCCTTTAAGTTTTTAAGTGTGTGGTAAATATCTAATAAAATGTTTCTAAATTTCTATTTGAAACAGACACATAGAAGATGAATATGATTTAATAAAAATAAAACTAAATTTTACGACAATTTACATTACATACATTCTTGGTTTCATTTCACGAATGGGGAAATCAATGCAGACAAAGTCCGTTCTTTAAATTATTTAAAAAATCCATTACAATCATACGTACATACGTAGCAATTTTTAGTGCTGATTTACCACGTGCTCTGTGGTTAAGGAAAATATCGTGAGGAAACCTGCATGTCTGAGAAATAAGAAAAAACTATATTTGGAAGACATGTGAATTTCGTTAACATGCATTGGGGCGGGGAGGCAGACGTTTTCTTGCCCTAATACCCTCTCAAGTATGAGAGGAGGCCTGTGCCCCGCAGTGGGCTGTAATTTTGACATAGATACGTACAGATCAAACAGCTCGACGGCGCTCCAAATTGAAATAAATTACGTTTAGAAAATACTTCTAGAATGATATTTTTCTTTTAAAACTTTAAAAAATGTTTATATTCGGTTGTAGGAGAATTTTTTAACTAGGACTCCGCCTGTGTATCTATGTAGCCTTTCTCGGTATTATAATTAAGGCCATTAGGCTGTACATTTACTGCTTTAATATTAATTACAGGTGCTGCCTAATTAGGAAAGACAATTATCAATTTATTTTCATAGCGAAAAAATGACCATTTCTCTGCCTAAGCTTAAATAGCTCACTATACAGCAAATGCTACTCCAGAATTTTATTAACACTTTTTCCCATTTAAAATTCTAATTCTCCACTATATCTTAAAGATAACTTTAACTTTCCCAATCTATTTCCAGCCGTGAATTTCGTCCCTCTAACGCTCTTAAAGTTAGTATTCCAGAAAATTTCACAGTTCAGGTTGTTATCTTCTGGAACGCCTTACCGGAGGAAGTAACGAATAAGCTTTTGTTCTAAAGATGGGTGCGACAACGTTGTTTAGAGATAAACGACAATTAATTGATTTCCTCCATTTTTGTTACATGTATATATGTGTGTGTTTGTGTGTAAATTAAATGTTTAAAGTGGGTCACTTTTAAAAACGAACAAGTAATAATCTATAAATGTTTGTTTTTCATTACACTTTATTTTTATGACAGTAATCATGCTAATAATATTACACTCTCAATTATTTTTCTTGTTAATAGTTTTCGTAAGGTCTACTTAATTTATAAACATAAACACTCACGTCTGTCACCCAGAGGGATAGGCAGAGACTATGGAGTTCCATTTGGCACGATCCTGACACACCTCTCTCGCTTCCTCCACATCCATGTACCTACGCATACACGCTCGTCGGTTAAAGGTAATCGCCAATTTGGCCGATTAACTTTCGCCTAGGGCGTCCCTTCCCGACTCTGCCGTTCACCTCTGCAACATAAATTTACTTTGTCACTCTTTCCTCATTCATTTTTTCTACATTACCAAACCACCGAAGCATTCCTTTCTTAATACTGGTCACAACATCATCTTGCAAACCACATTCTTCTCTTATTAAGCAATTTCTCACTCTGTCATTCACTCCTTAATGATCACATTTCTACAGCATGAATTTTACTCTTGTGCTTCTTCTGCCACACCCAACTTTCACTACCATACATTAAAGTAGGTACTAACACAGCATTGTGAATTGCCATACGTGCCTTTTTGGACACATTCTGACTTTTCACAATAGGGTGTACAGCCCCATTCACTCTATTTCCTGCATTCACTCGTCGTTCTATATCCTTATCATATCTACCATCCCTGCTAAACACATCCCAAATACACAAACTCATCTACTTGCTCTACCAACTCCCCTTCTATTCTTATTTCACATATCGTTTTACTATCTTCTCTTTCAAAAACCATAAATTTCTTCTTACTTGCCTTCAATTTTATTCCCTTTTCTTTTAATGTCCTGTTCATTAATGTAACCATCATTTGCAACTCGGTTGCCGACGACGCAAGTATGACTTGATCATCGGCGTACAAAAGGAATTTGACGGTTAACTCACCCATTCTTAACCCGCATTTTTCTACTTTCAAATTTTCCAAACAACTGTCCATAAATAGGTTGAACAGCCACGGGGAAGCCACACAGCCCTGTGGTTTGTGTGTTTATTGATGCCAAACCAGTCCGAGTAGGCCCCGTTGATCCTGAGACAAGCACGAGAGTCCCTATACAGAGACTTCAATGCCTGTATCAACCCAGCGCTCAACCCAAATGAGTTCAGTGTTTGCCATAACACATCCCTGTCCACTCTGTCATAAGCCTTCTCCATGAACGCACAAAAAACTTTTTGATTTTTGGCCAAAAACTTCTCCACGTTCATGCGTATAGAAAAGACCTGATCCGTACATCCCATTCCCTTTCTAAATCCCGCTTGCACATCCCAAATTTTTCCATCAGTTTCTTTCATGACTCTTTCAATTAGTACCTTAGCATACAGTTTACCCACAATGCTAAGAAGGCTGATACCACGGTAGTTTTTACAGTCCTGTTGTGATCCTTTTCATTTATATATTGGGACTATCACGGCTTTGCACCAGTCTCCCGGTACCCGCTTAAGTTCCCAACATAAATTAAACAAGGTGTACAGCAGGTCTGCCACCACTCCTTCTCCAGCCTTTAGCATTTCGAGAGATACTCTATCATATCCGGCTGCCTTACCTGTTTTCATACTTTTCATTGCTTTCATTATTTCATCTATACTTATATCTCTATTTATTTCCTCTTCTTTCGGAATTTCTATTTCATTTAATTCAGATGTCTCATCACTCATAAACACGCTTTCAAAGTATTCCTTCCATATCCTTAAACTGAAAACTTCGTCATTCAGAATACAGCCATTCTGTTCTCTTATAGCATTAATTCGAGGCTGTTTTGAATGTCCCCTGGCAGTTCTTACGAGTTTCTAGAACATTTTAATGTTTGCCTGGAAGTTATCCGATATTCTTCTATCATTCTTATCAGTTCTTTCTTGCTTTTTCCTTTCAACTACTTCTTTTACTCACTTATTTAGATGTCTAAAGACTGCCCTTTTCCTTTCAATATCATCATTCGTACTGCTAGAATTACTAGCCTTGGTTGCTAGTAAATCTAGCCATGCTTTCTTATTTGATTTAACTTCCATCCGTACCTCATCATCCCACCATAATATGTTATTTTTCCTTTCATTCGTCCTCTTACTTACACCACATACTTCGGTAGCTGCATCCACTAAACCTTTCTTGACATTATACCACACAGTCTCCAAGTCAAAATCTTTCATACACAATTCAGCCATAACACTTATATTTTCTCTCAATCTACATTTGAACTTCTCTTTCACACCTTCATCTTGTAACGTCTCTGTTCTTATACGCTGTAACGCAGTGGTAGACACAGATGTTCGATGCCGCCAACGTCTAAAAAGACCATTAATTCGGCATAAGACCAAGTAATTGTCCATCCCTACGTTAGAGCCCCGGTAAACCCTTGTATCTACCACCACGCTCCTCATTCTTTCATCAACAATTATGAAATCTATCATACTTCTATCATCACCTCTTTCCTATGTATACGTGTGAATCTTCTTATGACGAAAGGAAGTGTTCGTCACAAAAAGATTCTTTTCCACACATACGGTGAGGAGGCTTTCACCATTCTTATTTATACTTTTATCACCAATCGTTCCCAATATCCTTTCATAACCAAGCCTCCTCACCCCAACCCTTCCATTAAAATCACCTTATATCACAGTATTTTCATTACCCTTGCATTTCATTAGCACCATTCTTACCAACTCCCGA